ATCTTCATCATCATCCATCATCATCCATCATCACCATCATCACCATCATCACCGTCATCACCATCATCACCATCATCGCCATCATTTCCATCATCATCGTCATCATCATCATCATCATCATCGTCGTCATCGTCATACAATGAGCGGTCATGAGGGTTGCTGATGGTTCATGCACCCGGGGACCCCCCATTTTACAGTGCTGCTTCCCCCAACTTAGCTGACAAATCTGGGCCCTTCAAACCAAAAAAATGACCCTGGGAACACTCATTTCACAGAGGTTCGCGAACATTGCCCGACCCCCGGGGACCCTCATTTTACAGAGTCATTTGACCCATTTTGACCCGGGACCCCCCGTTTTAAATGTAAAATGGGGCTCCCCAGGGTTGAGGCGGAATGTGAAGGGGGATGGGATACATTGGGATAATGGAAAAGAAGATGGAAACTACCACATTATATTAGGGTGTACATTGGGATAGATTGGGATAATGGAAAAGACAATGGAAACTATTAGCCCTACCCTAAACTTTAAACTGTTGCCAATGGTATTTTTTGTCCCTGTTCAGGCGTGAGCTGGACCCGCTTCGTGCAAGGCCCAAATCAATGCAGCCTTGACATGTCCTGGAACCTGTTTATTCTATTATTTTCTAGAATATTATAGTATATTACAGCATATTATAGCAAATTCTAGAATCTTACAGTACATTACAGTGTTTTCTAGTAGACAGTACTATCTTCTAGTATATTATAATACATTCTAGTAGATTATAGTATATTATCGCTGGGATTTGCGGAGCTTGGCAGGCTTCGCCCGGCTTGCACATCCCGCCATTTGTTGCGGGGCGCATGAGCCTCGGTCCATATGCCCGGACTACAGCAACCTGTATCCCTATACATCCCCAATATCCCCCACATAACCCCTGCAACCCCTATATACCCTATATAACCCCAATATAGTAGTTTTCATTTTATTTTCCATTGAGGCGGCAAGAAAAGCAGGATAAGCTGACAGACGTCGTCCTAAGTCTTGAAGGCAAGCTGGTTCTTTCACCTGGTCTTGCGGCCACTCTTAGCAGCGCCTTGCAGCGCGTGCAGGTGAACAGAACTTCAAGGCGAAGCTGGGTAGTCAAGCTAAACATATCAACCTCCTGTTCATCTCCTTCAACTTTGATTTTCAGCCAGGACCTCTTTCGGGTAGGCGAGCTCATAGGTCATGGTACTTTCGGGAAGGCTCGGGACCAGTTTTTTCGGCACAAGCTGCCAGATTCTTGTCGCTCGCTGCCGGAACTGCCGCAGGTGTACAGTTGCTCGCGGTTATCTGGAGAGGAGGCCCTCTGTGTCGAAGGCTCAGCCTTTTCTGTTTGGCTGGAGGCTTCAGATCCAGACCACCATATGAGTTATAGTCTAAACTCCTCAAAGGGGGTTATATATGTAGGGATTATGTAGGGGACTTGTAGGGGTTATTACGGGGGATACTAGGAGTTTAGACTATGGTTCATATCTAGGATGCAGAGCCCGAAGTACTGTGATGGAGCGAGGTAAAGATTGTGGCCACGAGTGGACGCCATGCTGCGAGAGCCAGGGCTTTGGATCCAGCATGTTAAGCCTATCATTTTTTGAGTGATGTCAATGTCAGATTGAGTGTACAATGGTGTCACATATTGTCACATTGTTCTGGACTTTCACAGCAGTCTTCCATATTAGCGTTACACTGTTAGAGTTTTAGAATAAGTAGTGTCATGAATCTTGAAATGGTCGCTTGAACACGGCAAGGCATCCAAATTGCCGGCTGGTGAAAGATACGATCTCCTAAGGTGCGCTGCATCTGTATCATGGGTCTTTTGTTGGTGGTCCCGCCCTTCTGTTGTGTATTTAGGATGCATGCTTTTATTACTCCTGTGGAATTCGCAGGAACTTGTACACGCGATAATTCATTATATGTAGACAACAGCTTCGAGCACAAACTAGACTTCCTACAAAGACTCTGCCCGGTAGCGCGCACTCGGCTTTGAATTCTTGATAAGTCTTTGCCAGGCAGATTGCATCATTGCGACATCCAAACATCGTGAAGTACCACCAGTTCCTGCAAAGCGGTGACTTCCTGTAACGGACTCAGAAGTGCGTGTAGCATGCTTGGGGACTGGGCCATCTGGAGCCTCTACACAATCCTTCATGGGGACCCCACAGTTTTTTATATCTCCCATGTATCCGCAGGGTCCCCAGGCATCCCTAGGAAAAGAGTCCCTCAATCTCAGCGCCCCCAAAGCCCTTTAAAGGGTCCCTAAACGAATCGCTCCTTTGAAGACTTTGAGGTTTAGGGTGTGGGGTCCCAAGCCCCAAACGCGCCGCGCGCAGACATCAAAAGAGTCCTTAGGGTTAAAAAACAACCTAAGCCCCCCCCCCTAGGGGATCCAAGTATACAAATATTACCTACATTGGGCCCCAAAGTCTGTAAATATTACCAACGTTGGGCTATCTGGATCCCTAGGGCCCTACTTCAAGCGGAAGGTACGTCGTTATGAGCCGATGCCTTGGGCCGGACCTGGCGGATCACCTTGAGGTGGCAAAGACTGGTGCATCTGTCTGTGGGGTTAGGATTTAGGGTTTAGGGGTTGGGGTAGGGTTTGGGGTGTGGGGTTTGGGTAGGGTTTAGGGTTTAGAGTTTAGGGTGTAGTGTTTAGGGTTTAGGGAATCAGGGAGTGGTTTGCTGGGATTTCATGTGAACTTATATATAGGGGTCAGAGAAGAGATCCACAGGTAGAACTTGCCCCGCCATAGAAACATGCCAAGAAAAGAGTATCTGATTTTCGGATGTTCTAGCCCCAAGATAGAGTAGGATTGTCTCCTCCTTTTAGGTCTAGTATTGTATAGCAAGACTATTATTCTCTTGCTTGGCTCAATCACGAAAAAGCACTTATCAAGTCGGGTCAGGCAGGTGGTCCCGCCCACTAACATGGCAGTTTTCCTACAAAAGGGGACCCAAATATGGACCCCAAAATATTTTAGTTCCTATTGTAGAATATAGAAACTCTCCCCCAAGAAAAGTGCACCTAATTTTGGGAAATCCTCACACATGGATGCCTGTGCGGGGGAGGCTGGCGGAGTGTCCAACTGAAATCCAAGGAACGGTTTAAAACGATCCCCATATACCCCATATTCTATCTACTTTAGGGAGACTATAAACCCTGAGCACGGTGTGTCACTTCCGCACGATTCTGCCTTGCCTGTGAGAGGCGGAGCGGGTTGGAGTTCCCATACCTTGTGCAAATCCGTGGAGCTTTTCAGGGATCGTTAATTGTTTAGGGTTAAGAGTGTTTCCCAAAATTAGGGGTACAACAAGGACTATAGTATCTTCTTTTTTTTTTTATTGGGGTCCCTTATTTTGGGAAACTACCATCTAGGCAGCAGCAAGTGTTGCATCAAGTTGCCTTTGGCACAACTCATGATTGGTTGTAGTTGCGTACGAAAACTGTGCTGGCACAGCGTACAAGTTACCAAGTGCATGAATGATTCTGTTGAATCTGAAGATAGGCGCATGTTACCATGGAATAGCCGAGTTGATCTCTGTGTTGCTTGGAGAGCCAGTCGGACGTCTAACTCTTGATAACTCCGTGCGAGGTTTGCCAAGTTCACGCTGCATTGGACATTCCTCATTTGAAGCCGCTCACATATATGTGGATGTGGATGCGCATTTGCACCCCCCCATCAGAAGCAATTTGTGATTGACTGGGCAGTTGCCGCAGCACAACTCTGCCACAAGGAATCCAGTCGCATTCGGGGCAGATAGTCTGTGCGGCTGTCACATGCTTCATGTTTCCTGCAGGCAACTGGTCACCTCAAGATGCAGGATGTCAAAGAACTGTCCAGGCTCAGCAACCGTGAAGCAAAACTTGCATGCCGCAAGACATCACTGCTCACCGCATGGTGCTTGCATTGCCCAGGATGATGCTCTCCGCAGTTGCAGCTGTGCACCAGCATGGCCGCAAACCAAAACTCCTGACATTCGTGAGCAGCTGGAGGTTTTGCCAGTTGACTACCAAGGCTTGATGCACCGAGACGTCAAGCCAGTCCTTCTCTGAGTTCTTGCTTGTTTCTGCTGTATGCTTTCAGTGTGCAAGCAGAACGAAGTGATGACTCCAAGGAAAACTTTCGCTTCAAGGATCTTACCACCACAACCCTTCAGGCACCAAGGGGAGCAGCTAAGGTATCAGGCAACTTCCACCGGAAGCGTAAAGGGGAACGCGGACTGTTGGCACCGTGCTTGACCCCAACATTCTCAGCGCGGGGAAGACCTGGATGGTGAAACATGTATAGGCTCAGGAGGTTGTCTGCTGTTCCATCGCAACATTGGTCAGATAGTCTGAGCCTACTTTGGGTATTCGTCGTGAGGTCAGCCTTGTGTACATTGCTCACTATGATGAGCATGGCCTGCATGATCTGCAAATCTATTCCTGCCCCGCAGCTCCTGGACTTTGGGGCTGCCAAGATTGCGGATGATGTGCCCAAGGCGACAGATGCAACAGGAGCCCATCCAGCTTGTGGCATGATCTCATGCCTTTGCAGGCTCACACAGTTGTGGGAACGCTTCTCTACGCTGCCCCAGAGGCTTCTCATCTTCACCTGGTTCTACTGTATTCGAATCAAGCAAGAACGGCAGGTTTTCGACGGTGCCTATGGCAGGTCCTGCGATCTATGGAGCATGCAGCTTATGGATGCTTCCGCCACACCAAGCATGGAATATAGCACGAAGCATGGACTTCAGGTTGCGGGGCTGTGATTTTCTACCTCGTGTCTGGCCACTTGCCCTTCCAGGCCTGAAGTTCTCAAATTTTCCTCCCCTACCACATCCATGACCTCCCTGTTGCGCATCTTACCTTGGCTTGCTCAGACTTCGGATGTGACCATGCTTCGCAGCATGCACAGAGATCCTGCAGCTTGCCCAGACTTATTGGGTTGCACTACTGACTGCAACCAAGAAGCACTATCCATAGCAAACTCAGGTTCTCAACGGGGAGTGCTTGTTTCGTGGAGAACACTGGCGGCAGGCTCTGTGTATGACGTGTGCGCTTGTTGACTTGAGTTGTTGCGAGAAGACGCTGAAGGCGCCGATGGGTGCCAGGAGTCTTGTCCGAGGGTTGTTGAGTGTGGATGTGAACCGCAGGTGGGAACATCTCAAAATTACTAGTACGATTACTACTACTATTACTACTATTTATATTATTGTTGTTTTGCTTGAGGCAAAGAGAGCAACAGCAAGTGTCAGGCTGACCGCAGATGAAGCTTGTGATCACGACTGGTTTCTGAGTGTGCTCCTGAGCTCTGTGCCCGCAACGTTTGCAACGAGCTGATGATATGGTGATCAGGTTTCGATGAGGCAGGGTTCAACCTTCGCTCTGTCCTTTTGGTGTTTTTCTTGCATTTTGCCGGCAACAGGCCATCCAGGCCAATGATGATCCCTTGCCGGCAAAGCATGTTTTCAAGAGCAAATTAAATTAAGTTGGTGCAGCCGCTGGCAAGACAGGTCCCCCATGAACCGCTGTGAGGGCAGCCGAGTAAAGCTTGCAGACTTGAAGCGAACGTGATGGCCTCGACATTTCATGACGGGGCATTCGCTTCAACTCTGTCTCCGGGCACCAGCACATAGCCAGGTATTTCGACTGGAATCTAGCGGATTCCGATAACAGTGGACTCCCGGGCAAGTCTTGTGGCGGGCTGCAGCAAAGGCGGCGAAGACAGATTCCAAGCTAATCTTGTGCCAGGTGAGGACTGGGGAGACTCAGAGCCTCGTCGATGAGTTCGACGAGAGGCTCTTCTTTTGGTCTACCTTTGCATTTGATGGTCGATTGAACATGCAGGCATGCGCCATTTGAAGTGCGTTTTTCATCAGCCGTTTGCCAAGCGCCCAGCCGGCAAAGCTGAAGCGAGCAACGCTGCACTTTGAAGTATAAGTGTAACCTCACCTAGCCAAGGGCGTGACCAAGTACTGAGCTGGGGCCTGCTTTTGCAGCTGTGAGCTCAAGAAAAAAATCCTGCGCAGATCGGAACAAGACTGACAAATCTGATGCATGGAGCATCTGGACTCCAAACTGGCCCAAGCAGATGCTTGGTAAATAGTAACTTGTTCAACATCCGCATGATTCCTGTCTCTATCTAGACCTTTCTGTGAACAGCCGTGAATTTCAACATGTGCGTAGCGTCTTGAAGGCAAGAATCTGGGAGGAGGTAATCCCTTGCAAAGAAGATCCTGGGTGAGGGAGTGTTGCTTAAAGCCCTTTGTCTTTTCTGAAGAGCTCAAAAAGCGCCATCTAAGCAACAACATTCTCGGCACACATTTGCATTCACCAGACATGCTGCCTCAGATTGCGAGTAAGCTGGAGTCTCAGTCAAGCTTCATGAAGTTAGAACACTGCGTGCGCAGAGGAGTGCACAGTCCCGGTCAGCTTTTGGAGCATGGGTGGCAAGATGCTCCGTTAACCCCCCCAAATATTATAGGAGTTTCCATTGTGTTGTTCAAATTGTGGGCTCAGGGCTTGGTATCATGGCTATGATGCTTTTCGAAAGGCCGGGCTTGTCATTGCATGTAGCCGGCTTCCATCTCACTGTCAACATGCAGACGAGGTACCGTCCGATCTTTCGGAGGCCTGGTTCGGTACAGAAGGTGGAAGCTGATCCATTTTCCCTAACCCATTTTCCCTACAACGTGGAAGGGGTATATACCCCAATAATGGAGAATCCAAAGGAAAAGAACATGGAAAATGCCATGGAAACTGGGAATTTATATGTCTCCTAAACTCCAGGGCAAGTTTGAGTCACCAGGTAGGTCGTCCACACCGTGCTAAGAAATTCAAGAGGTGTGCAGCCTTTGCACCAGAGCCTCGTGAAAGAGTTCTCAACGCAGCACAGTGATGTGATGAACAGCTCTTCGTGCTTCTCTTTCTTTTCCAAGACCGGCTACCTCCTTTCCTGCTCACAAGTTTGCCCGACCTGGCTACTACTTTCTTTCCCCGCAGACCAACCAGGCTGCAAGAGGCTCTTGGGGAGAAGCTTCGTTGGAAACTGCTAGAGGCAGCAGCAGCAGCGCCGAATATGAAATGAACGAAGCAACATGCCGAATGTAGTGACATGACCACACGACCAAGCAAATCAATGCCACAGCGGCACAGCGATGTTCGATACACCCCCGTCCACTGCATTTAAGAAACACAACGGTATTGCCTGCCAAACGTCCTGTCCAGTCAATGCACTTCCAATTTTTTCTGCCTGTCCTGCGCCTATTCCAGTCCAGCACCTTGGGGAACGTATCTAGATAAGGAAAGCTACCGTCCAGCATGTTGTTCCAGAGCCAAACACAGCCTCAAGGAATAGTTGAGAATGTACACTATGCAATGTATTTGTTATGCTTTGGAACATGGATCACGAAGGCAAAAACAACCTCTGACTATCACACAGCACTTGTCACTGTAGTGGTCCGTAACTGTTCAGCATGCGCTTCTACCTGACGTGCTTCATTTTGGTCATTATGAAGCTTCCCATGCAATTCGTACGGAGATAGACCCTTCGAAAGAGAGTCCAATGGAAGCTGTTCCTGGGAGAAAAGGTGATGAGGGAACCCTCAGCGCCCTGCCTTGAGCACGAGGCCACGACAACAGGTGCCATTATGACCGTCTTCGCAGTGATGACATGCATAGCGCTCTTCCTCTGCGAGGCCGACAGAAGTCTAACAGTCTTTCAGCTTTATTCTCACTAACCTGGCACCGCTCTTTGCAGACATCGGCATTCCTGACGGATGCTCCGACTTCTTGGATTGTAACTTGACTCAACTCATTTCTTGCTAGTCTTAGTGGAGGTTGTGCAAGGGCAAGCGCGTAGCTGTGCATTCCTGAGGTGGTTGACAGCAATCAGGCCATGTCGGGCATTTTCAAACATGCGGAGTCTCCGCTATATACCCGACACTTGGAGAATTCTTACTACAGGGCCGCCCCTAGTTCTTAGAACCTGTTCTGGAACGATTAACAGCTTTGCCGCCAGGATGAATTACTGACAATCAACTTCGACGTGACCATGCTTGACATCGACTGCAGCCATCTGACCGTAGGCTCGGCCTTCTGGATGTCAAAATGGAGTTTCAAAGTAAAACCCCTTGAAGCACTGGTTTTGGCGCGCGCAGAAATGGCTTCAAAAGGGCAATCTGAGTAGGCGTTTGGGATGCGTTCGGGACAGAACGCTTCAACATCACCAAGAATGTCAGATCCTCAGATTCCTTTACAGGCTTCCATTCAACATCTTAGCAATGCCAACAAGGTGCAGAAACAACGCGGTTTGCTCAGTTGTTTTGCTGTCTCAGCGATCCCAGTATCTTTGCACTTGAGCCAGTCCACGCAGGCGTGGATCACAAAGGCACTCGCAAAGGACAGCCATACAAGGAGGTGCTCTTGAGCAACATGCCTCTCCATGCCTCCTCTGCAGCCTCTGCTCAGGAAGAACTGCTAGAACTGGAGTTCAGCGATCGAAGCTTTACGCCGGAGGCCGTTGAGCAAAGTGACAAAGCAACAGTGGATTCTTCAAAGCATCAAGCTCCTGGTTTGCCAGGAGCTCGCAGAACTGGATTCGGATTGGGGATCATCTAGTGACCATTTCAAGCGCCTTGACTATGGGCAAGTCCCGACCCTCTTTGCTCCGACCCAGCGTGGGCGACAGCATCTGTGAGCCCTTTTGAAAAGCTGCCAGGCATAATGATTTCCAAGCTGTGATTGACGCGCACGACTTCACAATGATCAACTTCTATGCCGACTGGTGCCTTGACTGCATCCGCTGGGTAGTTCATCCAGACAAGACTCCTAAGGCGACCTTAAAGAAGGAAACCCAGTGGTGTCCAAAAAGACAAACTAAACAGGTGCAGTCACTGCAGAGACTTTGCTGCGACCTGGTTCGACTTCGAGAAAGCTGTCAATGAGTTGGCAACTAAGGAGGCTTGAGCGATTTAAGGCTTTTTTGTGTAGTTCCAACATTTCTCTTCCATTCCCACGGAAAGGATACTTGGAAGTCTTATGTTATTGGGGAGCTACGTGCATTTTACGATGGAAGTCAGACAAGGCATAGGGTCGTTGCCAACGATGCGGACGGCAAGCCAGCCGCTGTTCGTGTCTTGTCTGCACCGAAAGTCCAACACGGAACCCTTTGCCTTCGTGGGGGAAGCATCTGCTAAGACCTCCTGCGACTGAACTGCGTCGACTTCCAGGCAGGAGACTGTTGAGATACCTCTTCAGCAAGGTTCTGGGAGTAGGGGTTTGAGGCTTTAAGGAATTTAGGTGGCAAGCGCAGTGCACAAGCGGCAGCAACCTACGAGGACACCTGCCGGGAACAGATGATTCGTTTTTTCCCGGCGGTCCGCCTGTATCCTTGCTGAAAACTTGCCTGTCATTGTGCAAGCCTCCCAGCTTCAGCAGACGCCACAACTTTGGGTGAGCCACCTTGCAAGGTACCGAAGAAGTGCAAAGAAAGGTGAGTTCGAGGAGTTGGCGCCCAAGATAGATTTATTTGACGCATTGAATTCCTGTCTACAATTTGAATCAGGTATAGTGGAGAGCGTAATGCAGATGGCATGACCAGCTTCCTGGCTCAACAGTGTTTGTTGGGGCAGCCTCTTCATAGACACATGCTTGGTAAGGATGGCTGCAATCAAGCGTAGCCCAGCGGCACCTGCATACCGGCGCGACGTGCGCCTGCCCACATCTGGAACAGTGAAGCCTTGACGGGTCAAAGCCAGGTATCACAGCGTATTCTCTGAGGGCTGTCGCGTTTCTGGTTCAGTCAATGTAGCTGCTTCCTCAGTCGAAATAAAGATCATCGTGCCGGGGCCGTGCAGCCTCACTGTCTGGCAGTCAGGCACGCGTGCCTGGGACGGTCCACTTTCAGGCAATGCAAGGGTCCCTTGCGAGCGTCAGGCACTCCTTGTGATGCTGGGTGGATATCTTTGCACAGGTGGGACAGTCAAAGGAGCGCGATATCAATCCTGCCTTCACCAACGTCAAAATCTCAGTTTTTTATGAAGCCTCCTTTGTTCATTTTGACCAGAGACAAGCAAGGTCTCGCACACCGTTCACCACTTCAGCTTCGGAGAGGTGGGTGCTTCCGCTGGATACGGGATGCTGCAGCATGGACGATTGTGGCTGCCAAGGCCCCTCGAGGATTGAAGGCTTCTCTACCGCGGCAGTGCCTTTATCAAAGTTGATGGTCATTCTTGCTGGTCTGATTCACTACTATTACACATTGCAATTGCCACTGCTACTGGTGCAGTTGTTACTTATCCAGTTGGAAGTAGAGTGCATCGCTGGGCGGCTGCTTCAAGATACCGCTCGCACGTCAATCCGCTGGACGGCCAGACTTTCCTGGTGGCACCGCGCTTAGTGAGATGGCTCTGTGCTGGAATTGCGATGTATTACATGGCATCTCGCGGCTTGAGCCGTGTGAAAGGACAAGTTCCACAAGGCTCCCAGCCACTTCATCAAGGCCCTTTGTGGTAACAAAAGCCTGTCGTGGTTCCTGAATCTTTGAAGAGGTGGTACATACCAGATTCGAAGATTCAGACCTGCGCAGCTACCAGCAGACGCACCAATGGACTCCCTCTCAGCTTGGCTGTCGCGCTGATGCTACGCCCTTTTGAAGTACGCCTGTCGTGGAATTTTGCTGTAGCTGTTTGTGTACAAACGCTGATCCGAGTTCGCAATCTACGGTGATGCTTGTAGAAGCACTTGAAGTTGGAAATTAAGTTGGGGTACTGCCATGCAGGGGACAGAAACTTTGTCCTGAAATGCCGCATCATGGCTGCTAAATCTGTCAAAGCCAAGATATCCTGCCTGGGAACGAGGAGTGTACGAACTTTGCAACGAGGAACCACACCGCAGGCACTGATATGGAATGCTTTGGCCACCAGCCCTTTTCAGCACTGGTATCCAGGCCAAATTTTCCTTCGACTTGTCCCCGGTGGAGGCAGGCACCAAGCTTGAGCAGCTTGGTTTGTGCTTGCCTTGAATGTTGCAGGTCGTTATAGGCAAGTCCGACCGCAGGTGGTGCGCTGCATCTGCTGTACGTGCCAGAAATGGTATCAAGTCATGTACATGGGTGGCAGTGAATGGCTGCCGTGAACAGCGAGGTATGATTACATCACTCAGATCTTCGCGATCACTGGTGGAGTTGTGACCTCAACATCATCAAGTGTGTGTAGAGAGGGAAGCTTATCCAAGGCCTTCACTGTGATGTCGCTGGCAGCTGGCTTTCTCAAAGCTTCGAGCGTCCATGTCAAGAGTGAGCCTTGCCTGTGTTTCGATTGAGCCATACCCAGCTGAGCGAGCCGTCCAGGTATGCTGGACAAGCTGAGCTAATGGCATACGCAGCGCAGAGCCACCTTCGCCAAATCCTCGTCGACCTGCAGCGATTGCAGCACCGGCAGAATCCAGCGCGGTGAAGTTGGAGGTTTGCTGCCTCGTCAGTGTGTTGGGCGTCCTGATGTCTTGTTTTTGGGCCCTTGAAAGGAGAACTTGCTGAAGTCAAGCCTTTGCCTTGGTACAATTTTTTTGGTTGGGGAGGCTGAAGTACTTTCCCTGCCCTGAGGCAGCCTCGAGGGACACACTGAGTCGTCATGGCGACAAGGATGCTGGAGATGTGCTGCCGAAACTGTGGAAAAGGAGTGCGCGCGGCATTGTTTGCACGTGAACTGCCACAGCCACAGCGCCCTCCCAAATGCCTTAAGTTGTTTTGCCGAATCGCCCCACCCCAAGCATGTTATGCTAAATTGCGTGGCCATGCCTCCAGACCCCATCCCGAGCGTTTTGTCACTTCTGTTGCAGTTTGTTTCTGCCCGCCTGCTACAAGTAGATGGTGGCCCGGCCAAGTTTGGTCATTGCGAATATCCCCACAACAGCTGGCCGAAACAAGCACGCACTGCAAAAATGCATTGGGCCCTTCACCACACTTGGGTGGGTAGCAAGAGGGCTCTTTGGTGTCGCGTGCTTTTCGCGTCTGCGTTTTTGTGGTGGCCTTTGGTGGACTTTGGATTGGTCACCACATGTCACCTGGATCAAGTTTTCCAGCGTTCACATGTCTGGTTTGTTCGTTTGTCATGGGAGTCATGGGCTCTCGTTTTGCTCAAGGAGGCAGCTGAGTTGAGAGCACTCATAGTGCCGCGAATTGTTCTGATCGGAAAGCGAGTGCCGAGGAAGTACTGCCTGCCTTGCACTGGGTGGCCAGCCCTTCTTGACCCAACACCGTGCCTCCTTCTTACTGGACAAAAATGCTCCACAAGGGGATGCCGAAGGAGATGCTTGCGCGCAAGTCGCGGTGGCGAGGCTTCACGGCCAAAAGCTTAAGTCCAACAAACGACCTCGGGATAACACTTGCTGAGCAGCCTTCTACCAGTGGCGAACTCAAGCTGCAGCGAGGGTCAACTATGAGCGTATTCATCTTAATTTTCACATCATGGCTGTCATGGTCGTCATATTATGTGAATAGCAAAGACATTATCGAGCGTATGTAGCTCCTCAAAGAAACCGTCATCTCCAACTGCCAGCATAGTTGACTTGGAGCGGAGCACCAGAAAACACGAGTCATGATTGAGATGCTTGTCACAGGTGCAAACCTTTGATATCGTTTTTTTCAAGAAGCCTCCCTTGACCCATTCTTGGGATGGAGGACTTGAACGGACTTTGCGCTTCCATCATGGCAGTTGCAACACGACATGCGCATGCTTGCTGCTGCGCGAGCAAGGGCGACCTTGACGCGGGGGCATTGGTGTGCGTGCATCAGTTCAGGGCAACTTTTGTGCCTACTGCCTCGAGCCGCGTCGTGAGTTGTCCACTACAAGGTCGGGACCCATGTCATAAGGGAACATCGTTCGCGCCAATCTCACTGCGTAATGCGTTGGCGACCGGAAGTTTTATGATCATCTTGGCCACACATATCCGGCTGCTCCGGACAGCGTGAGCTTCTCCTGACAACAAACTTTTGCAGCTGTCGGCTCAAGTGGCCGCTCTAGGCATGACGACCGCATACTGAGTTGGGTGCAACTTTGGAGCAGTGGGGCCGAGCTTGCGCGCACGCAAGCGAGCGAGACGAACGTGACCGCTCTGCAAGATGAGTCCGCGAATCAGAGAGAAATTTACAGTGCCACTACATGTAATTGCAGGGTGCTGGGTTAAATTTAGTTGGCGCTCACGGGGTAATTATGGAGCCGCAGCTCTGGTTTTCTCCACCGAGCCCTGAGATGGGACTGGCATTCCACGTGGCCGACAGCATTGACGGCATTCACGGAAAACACAGATGGGCATCCCCCCCGTGGCTGCATGCAGAAAGCGAAGCAAGCGAAAGATCCTGATTGGGGAAATACTTGCGCCCTGCGCCTTTGGGTCATGCACGCATGTCCACAGAGGTATCAGGCGAGATACGCGGTGCAACATGACCAATGTTTTCTACGAAAACGGCGGCGGACTCGAGCAAACTCGCGTGGGCAAACCTCGTTGTAAATGCTTGTGTAACAGGGCGAAGCCAATTTGGCCAGCATTGCAACGCCAAAGCCAGATGAACGCGGTTGCGCACAGCATGCAAACCATGATCCATTTCCGGCGTGCGGGTGCGCTGCCGATGTCGCCCAGCGGAATTTTCTACCAAGGATTGCGTCAAAGCACACGTGACCACTTAGCTGCCCACATGAGCTCATATGGGCATACTGAAAATTTCAAAAACCTTGCTACAACCAATCAAAATCGCAGTAGTCCCGGTGATTGGGACCGCGCGGGATGCCAGTAAAGGGTCCGTTCAGAAAAAGGTAGCGCTACGACATCCTCACGTGGGAGGCAATGGCCCTTCCCAACACCGTGCCAGAGCCCCGAACAGTCGGCGACCACTTGCGAGGGATGGCACCGCCATGCTGCCCGAACTTGTCCCGCGTCCCATTGCTGCTCTCGCAAGCAGGTCCCCATTCTGCGCGTGCATTCGCAGTAGTGCCCACCCAATCACCCATCACGGCGTTGTCACCCGTAGCGCCCAACTCCGGGTGCTGCTCATCCATCACATTCGGAACGCATTTGCGCTGCCACAGGAGGCTGCAAGGGCTTGGCGACCACCGCCCAGCCTGTGCCACGTTGCCTCCCAGGCCTTGCCACTTCAGCAAGCTGTTAACCGGGAAACTGCCCGTGCGGCCCGCAACGTCCTGGTCGGCAACATGAAAAATGCCGTGCCGGCGCCGATGAGCCATGGCTTCCCGACTCGCAGTTTGTCCTCGACACCACCACCTGGTGCTCTGTCACACGGACCCGGGAGCCTCATCCTTGGGTCCGTGTCCAACCAGGCTGGACCACTGACAATGGAGCACAGCACAAGCACAGGGATACCTACCCTCAGCTTATGTGGGAAGCCCGTTGCCGGTGTGTGGTCGATGCAATCGGAGCCGGCGTTCGCTTCGTGGATTCGTCCCGTCAGGGCTGAGGCCGCAAACTTTGCATGCCACTGTGCGTCGGCCGGGCTTGTGGGTTGCGGGTGGGCCCTACACCCTACACCCATTAGTCCAAGCTATGCCGTATTAGTCCAGGGTACGCCCCATTAGTCCAAGGGTATGAGGAGTTCTGATTTAACATTATCATCGCCTCATTAGTCCAAG